TTTGTATAAAGCGAGAGAAAATTGTATATATACATATATTTTCGTTCCCCTCTCTCTCCTCTCTCAGATCTCGCTCGCCACTCTCCCAGATCTCGCTCGCTCACTCACCTCTCTCACTTTATACAATTGATCTTTTTGTATATGTATACCAAATCAGATTATACAACTGCTTTCTTTTGTATATGTATAGCAAAATATACATATTTATGTTTGCTATGGAGTGCAATTATGCAAACTTTGCTATAACATACAAATATGAATTTTGTGTTTGCTATATGTGAAAGTTGCTCTTCATTAATTAAGGTGCCACCAATGCATTTATCTTTACTCTTTTAGTCGATTTCAACTTATAAGTACTTTTAATATTCACCAAATCCATAATTAAAAAGTACCAATTATAAACAAGAGGAGAGGATGTTATTTATATAAAGAAAATACCCCTCAACTTATAAATTTATCCAAACACGCTCTCATAATATGATTTTTATGTTGGTTGTTACGTACCACAATTTTTTTGATTCTTGATTGGTGTAACAACTCCATCCTTCCTCCAATCAACACCAACCGGTAATTTGGATATATCATACGACGTAACATTATTAATGTCTTCTTGTTCCTGCATCGGTTTCTCGTAACTTAAATAAATAGAATTAAATTCCCGATTTGTCATGTCTGCAAAAGCATTGTCAGTAAGGCTGTAAGAAAGGTTTAGTGAATTGAAGAAATCAATGAATTGAACATTTGATTGATAAATTCCAAATCTCATATTCCATTCAGCTTCATTTTGGTATTTTCTTCTGTATTTTTGGACCCAATTTTGGTACCTATTGAGAATTATTGGATCATCTTGACTTGCATTTGTGAGATAGCATAGGGTTAAAAAAATTAATAGCATAAAGTTCAAAAAAGTAATATAAGATGGCTTCATAATAGCTATAGATTTAGTATAATTGGTTGTTTATTATGAGGTTAATTTGTACATTAAATAACATTATGTTGATGAGATGATTGTTAATCGTATACGTAATTATTTGATAAGTTGTTTTTTGTTCATGTAATTTGCATGGTTTGGTTGATTGTTTAATTTGTTTGTTTTAATCTTTTACGTTTACGTTTTGTGTTTATAATATGGTGGATTTGAATAGTGGGCAAATACCTCAAGGTGTGTTTGGTATGATTTACGAAGAAAAATATTTTTTGAAAAATAATTTCTAATTTTTTCATATTCGATAAATATGAAATGAGAAATGATGTCTTTAATTTTAAGTGAGACATCAAAGTGAATAGTACACACCAAATTGCAAACAAAAAAGAGATAAAGTAATTAAGGTTAATTAGCTTGATCATACTCGTTGAACATATCATAGTACACTAATTAAGGTTTATTAGATTGTAAGGACACCAAGAAATTAATTTTTTTTACTGTGATTCTTTTACATTCATTTATTTATTTTTCAATTTTCTGTTTAGCAGAGATCAAGATCTAGTTACAGTTAACAATATTATTATTATTATTATTATTATTATTATTATTATTATTATTATTATTATTATTATTATTATTATTATTATTAT